ATTATCAGGCTATGAATCAGCAGGAAGCTTTTAAATAACAAGACTATACCTACAAGTAAATGTTGTCTATTTTTGTTATTTATTTTATTTAAGTGTTTTGATGTTGAGCTACAATCTGACTTCTTGTAAATCCAGCCAACTGGTAATAGTTTAGGTCTTTGAGTAACAATGCAAGTGTACAACATTTTTCCCATAATAGATGTTAAAACTTGTATACTATCACTGTTGTGCTTCAGTATTCTCTTTATAATTTAAAAAAAAATGGGGAACATAGAGACCACAAAGCTACCAGCAGAGATACCAACAGCCCATATGGGTGCTGGCATCCCATTTACTGCTCCACTTCTGATCCTGCTCCCTGCAAATGGCCTAGGAAAAGCCACAGAGGATGATACAGATGCGTGGGTTCCTACCTCCCATGTGGGATACACAGATGAAGGTCCTGGACCCTGGTTTCAGTCTGGCCAAACCCTGAGCATTGCAGCTATCTGAGGAGTGAGCCGGTGAGTGGAAGAGCTCTCTTTCTCTCCCTTCCTTCCAACCTCATTCACTCTCTCTCTGTGAAACTCTGACTTTCAAACAAATAATCATTTTTAAAAAATTAAAAAAATTTATTTCCCATGAAGGATGTTTTCACAGGTTTTCTTTTTTGGCCTTGGGATTTTTGTATTGGTCTTGTTGGTTTTTTTATTGGCTTTATTGATTTTTATTGTTTATTTATTTATTTTTTTTTGACATGCAGAGTGGACAGTGAGAGAGAGAGACAGAGAGAAAGGCCTTCTTTTTGCCATTGGTTCACCCTCCAATGGCCGTTGCGGCCGGCGTGCTGCAGCTGGCGCACTGCGCTGATCTGAAGGCAGGAGCCAGGTGCTTCTCTTGGTCTCCCATGGGGTGCAGGGCCCAAGCACTTGGGCCATACTACACTGCACTCCCTGGCCACAGCAGAGAGCTGGCCTGGAAGAGGGGCAACCGGGACAGAATCCGGCACCCAGACCGGGACTAGAACCCAGTGTGCCGGCACCGCAAGGTGGAAGATTAGCCTAGTGAGCCGCGGCGCTGGCCTGATTTTTATTGGTTTTATTGGCCTTTGATTCTTCATACTGTGATCAGTGTGACCAGGAACTTCCAACTGTATAGGATTCCCAGGGATTTTATGAGTAAGAATTTTTTTTCTTTTCATGTTTAACAGAAACAGTAATGAGTCACACTGTAGCTTCTGGGTCCAGGGAAGAGTAGAGAAAAAGCTCTGGGAGAGATTGATACCATGTTGTAACTGTAGCAACTTGATTTTTAATTGTAAACCTGTGGGCAATGTAGGGAGACTAATGTAAACGATATTGGACACAGGGAGGGAGTAACTGGCATCAGTCTTGGGAGAGGATTACACAATATCCCAGGTGAACCTAGATGTTGAGGTTCTTGAAGATCAGCCCATTTCCAGCAGAGTCTTCACTGTTAGGAAGCAGATCATATTTCACAAGGAGGATGGCCCAGATGAAAAAGGCAGCTCTAAGGTTTTCAGTTTGCAGAAGGAAGTCAGTATGATGGAGAAGGTACTAAGAAAATACTGACTGAAAGGATGTGGAAATGTTGTGAATGTTTCTGATATACCCTATAAAAGACACAATCCCAAGGAAGCAGTACTACATCCATATTTTACTTTTGAAATGAGACTGAAACTACAGCTGTTTTCTAACGGCTTCTTATATTGCTAATGCCATTGAGCACCTGCAGCCATTGGGGACCTAATTGTTGAGCATTTTTGTTTATTAGTAACATAAAAAATACATAGTGTGTTTTAGGCAGTGGAACTACAAGCATGTAAAAGATAGATCATTCTGTTGACTTGATTTAGTCAGGGACATTATAAACAATTGCATTCTACCTGAACTGAACACATGTAACAGTGATAACAAGTTAAGGATACTAGCAAGAAAACAATTGATGTTATTTTACAGTTAAGTAAACTGATGACAGATAATTTATTGGAACTGCTGGCATGGCTGATCATTGATTGATATCTTCTGTAGGAATCTGACTGTAGTCTTCCTAAGTGTTTTACTGTTAAGATCAATCAAAGTAGGGTATGTGTCAATGAGATTTCAGAAATAAGACCACTGTAAGCAAATAATGAAGGATAGAATTAAAAGGGAGAGAATGATCCTGCGGGGGAAACAGGACACACAGCAGATTCATAGAATGGCAGCACTCCTGCCTCAGAATCAACCCTTGAGACATTCAGATCTGGCTAAAATGTCCATGAGAGTCTCACAGGCATGGAAAGTCATGACACGGTGGCAAAAAAACAATCTAAATGAAAGATCCTTGTGAACAAGACCCCAGCAGAAGGAACAGGCCATCAAGGAGAGAGGCGCCTTTCTCTGAAGGGAGGAAGGAACCTCCACTGTGATATGGCCTTGACTAAACAATTTCAGAGTCGGTGAACTCAAGGGGCTTCCATAGCCTAGACAGCTCATAGCAAGAGTCTCAGGTGATTGCTGACATCATAAATAAGAGTGCCAATTGTTAATCAACAATGGGACTCACTGGGTACAGGCTCCTCTCGTAGGATCTCTGTCCTTAATGTGTTTTCCTATGAAACTTAAAAACAACACTACTAGTCAAACAATGCCCTATACCTTGTGCAGTTGTGTGGGTGCAGCCTGTTGAAATCCTTGCTTAGTATATACTAAGTTGATCTTCAGTATATGAAGGTAATTGAAAATGAAACTTGATGAAGGGCGGGATGAGAGAGGGAGTGGGAGAGGGGAGGGCTGTGGGAGGGAGGGAGGTTTGGGGGGGGAAGCCACAACAATACACAAGTTGCACTTTGTAAATTCACATTTATTAAATTAAAAAAAAACTATATAACAAACAAAAAAAGAAAAAGAAAAAAAACTTAATACTTTACCCTTTTAGTATTTTTTATGTTCTACTTAAAATTGTTGGTTGAACTCTGTAATTAATACACAATTACTCCTAGGTGTTTAATTAATGCTATAACTAGTACTCAAATATTATTTTACACTTTGTGTTTCTGTGTGGGTGTAAACTGTGGAAATCTTTAATATATGCTAAATTGATCTTCTGTATATAAAGATAATTGAAAATTAATCTTGATGTGAATGGAAGGCGGGAGGGAGTGGGAGAGGGGAGTGTTGTGGGTGGGAGGGAAGTTATGGGGGTGGGGAAGCTATTGTAATCCATAAGCTGTACTTTGGAAATTTATGTTCATTAAATAAAATAAAATATAAAAAAAGATCAATCAAAGAAACGGCTTTTATGTGATAGTAAGCTGTGTGTGTATTAATACTTTATAATTCACCATTTCCATAAGGACATCAAGGGTGGCATCTGAATTTGTTAATGAAATCATCAATTAACACTAATCCATTGATAATGATCTTCCAATTCAATAAACTTACAAAAGGAAAGATGATTAGTTTGGCGAACATTATTCATATTGAGCAGAGTGAAGTTATGTTTCTGTTGATCACTGATTTCTCCTTTTCCCCTTTATTTCCTTTATGTTCTTATAAATCAGTTTAAACTTGTACTAGAAGAAATAACAACCTTGGTGTTGGTGCTGTGGCATAGGGGTTAAAGCCTCCATTTGCAGTGCCAGCATCCCTATAGGCACTGGTTCAAGTCCTGGCTGCTCCACTTCTGATCCAGTTCTCTTTTATAGCCTAAGAAAGCAGTAGAATGTGGCCCAAGTCCTTGGGCCCCTACACCCATGTGGGAGACCTGGAAGAAGCTCCAGGATCCTGGCTTTGAGTTGGCCCAGCTCCAGCTGTTGCAGCTATCTGGGGAGTAAACCAGCAGATGGAAGATTTGCTTTCTCTCTCTCTCTCTCTCTCTCTCTCTCTTTGCCTCTGCCTTTCTGTAACTCTGTCTGTCAAAAAAATAAATCTTTAAAAAAAGGAAAAAACAAGGTTTCATTTGCAGAGACTTTTAATTCATATCCAACTTCCACAGTTTATCATAGTAAATTAGTAGTTAATCTATAGATTTCTAGGATAATACGTTCATATTTGAAGGAATAGTCAAATGTGTCACTCAACAAAATTTATTTAACATATATTATGTGCCATGAATGGAATTAACATTGATATAACACAATTTATAGCCCATAAAATGGAAACTTACATTTATTTTTGTACTTATGATATTCTTTACAAAAAGAAACTGAAATTTTAGAGAAGGAAAAACATGCAAGAAGAAATTCAAGCATTCTAGCAGGTTTTAAAAGAAACCATACAAAGAGCGTTAAGAAAAAGAGTTTGTTAGCTTGTAACTTCTTGTTACATTGAGGGATGCATTTACATGTTGGAAAATTTGAGAAGGTATTTCAGATACGATAACAAGCCTGTTGCTTACTTTTTCTTTTATTGTTTCCAAAAGTATGCATTTTCACTCTTTTAGTTCTTTACAACATAAGGCACCTGGACACGTGTGGGGCTTCCAGGATTGGTGAGCTGATCATATTTATTGAGCAGAAACAAGAAGATGAGTACTGTAAAAGATATGAGTAGCAAAAATAAGTAAGATATGGACCTTAAAAGGCTGAATTGACTACCAAATAGATGAAAAACAAAGGACAAAGATATAGAATAAAGCTACACTTTTACACTAGATTTTTACAAAGCACTTTGTGCATTACTATGTTGGGTCTTCATCTCAACACCTAAGAAAGCAATATATCATCTCTACTTTCTTCAAGGAACCTTCAATTCTAAGCATTCAGTGACCTGGCTAAATACATGAAACAAACAGGCAACAGCACCATTGTTCAAAATGTGGCTCTGGCTACATTACACTGAATATACTGATCTCTGCTTTAAAGAAAAGTAACTACAAAAAACTGGCCAGGACAGAAATGCACAATAATATGGAAAATAAAATGTGGTGGGAGTATTTACAGAATTTTGTGATGTTTTAATTCATGTTCCTTATAGGAAGCATTAAATTGGCTTCTGCTATCTTGCAGATGAAAGACTATGGGAAGTTCCAACACGAGTTTCAGAGAGGATTTCATTTTGGTAGGATTCTCAGATTGGCCTCAACTGGAACTCATCCTTTTTGTCTGTATTTCAATTTTCTACTCTCTAACTCTCTTTGGCAATAGTACCATCATCATTATCTGCCGACTAGACCTTCGCCTCCACACTCCCATGTACTTCTTTCTTTCCCACCTCTCCTTCCTGGACCTCTGCTATACCACCAGCACTGTGCCTCAACTTCTGATAAACCTTCACGGACTTGACCGGAGCATCACCTATGGAGGGTGTATGGCCCAGCTCTTCGTATCTCTTGGCCTCAGCTGTACTGAGTGTGTGCTCTTGGTGGTGATGGCCTTTGACCGCTATGCTGCTGTGTGTCGTCCACTCCAATATACAACCATTATGCATCCCCATTTATGCCAGATAATGGGTATTGCCTCCTGGGTGGGAGGCTTCATGAACTCTCTGATTCAGACAAGCCTCATGATGGCTGTGCCACTCTGTGGCATAAGCCAACTGAACCACTTTTTCTGTGAGATGCCTGTACTGCTGAAGCTGGCTTGTGTAGACACAGAAGGAATACAATCCAAGATGTTTGTGGCTCGAGCCATAATCTTGATTGTCCCTGTAGCACTAATTCTAGGCTCCTATGTACACATTTTTCAGGCAGTGCTGAAGGTCAAGTCAATGGCTGGACGCAGAAAGGTTTTTGGGACTTGTGGGTCCCACCTCTTGATTGTTGTCCTTTTTTATGGATCAGCCATCTACACATACCTCCAGCCCATTCAAAGTTATTCTGAGAGTGAAGGGAAGTTTGTTGCTCTTTTCTATACTATAATTACTCCCATGTTTAATCCTCTGATATATACCCTGAGGAACAAGGATGTGAAGGGAGCTCTATGGAAGGTACTAAGGAGAGGAAGAACATGAGGTAAGAAGGAAAAGGGGGACTTATAAAATATTCTCAATAGTGTTATAGTAATCTTAGGTGGTGATACCCTCTTCACTCAAGCAGGCACCAGAGGTTGAGTGGAGCATTAGAAACAATTTATTCACCAGTGGGCCCATTAGGTGTTGCTTCCTGAAGACTGACTCCCAAATTCTGGTTTGTTACAATATTAATAGGTTCATTAGCATAATACCATAACCGTTACACCATTGGTGTTATTTAATTTGCAGCCTATGTTACTTAGGAGGAACCTGTCTATGTGACTTAATACCACATTTCCAACAGCCCATTGGTCAAGCATGTTTATAGAAGGGGAAACTGGACTCTGGGCGGGGCAAAAACAGGAGATTAGGACCTAGTAAATTTGTGGTGCTACTGAACTGAGACTGTGAAAAAAGAGACGGTGGGGGAGAGAACTCACGGAATTCATGTGAGCACTCTCCAGAGACGCTACAATTCCGTAACTTTGGCAACACAGTGGGAGACTGAAGGAGACTTTGAGCCCACTCTGAGGGCCGAACAGATTCCCTGTGTGGTCCTTGGGAAAGAGCTTCCGATCTCTGGCTCCTGTGGGTATATCATTTGCCTGCTAACTACCTCCAACTTCTTTCAGCTGTGCAGAATTACTTTCCTTTTGAATCAAAAAAAGAAAGAGAGAGAGAAAGAGAGATTTACCACGCCTAACCAGGGAGTGTCACCTTTGGCACACCAAACAGAGCTCTCAGGCCACACCCATTTCAAGCCCTAAGGCTCCATCAAAAATAGATAGCCCACTTAATCTAGAGTCATAGTATAACAAGAAAAAGCACCACAGTGAAGAAACCAAATATCTCCAATATGCCAAATAACAAACGCAAAAACCGAGGTAATAAAAACAAGGAAGTCACCATGAAGCCCTCAAATGAAAAAGACACCCCAATTCAAGATTATGAAGATGATGACATAGAAGAAATGCAAGAAGCAGATCTCAAAAAATTGATAAGAACATTAAGAAGTTCTCAAAAACAAATTCTTGAACTACAGAAATCCTTAATGGACAAGATAGAAAATCTCTCTCGTGAAAATGAAATATTAAGGAGGAATCAAAATGAAACGCAACAACTAGTACAACAGGAAACTGTGATAGTGACTGAAGTGAAGAATTCAATAGATCAAATGAAAAACACAATAGAGAGCCTTACAAACAGAATGGGTGAAGCAGAAGAGAGAATATCGGACTTAGAAGACAGAGAACAGGAAAGGATACAGTCAGACCAAAGAAAAGAAGAGGAAATTAGAAATATAAAACATATTGTCGGGAATCAGCAGGATACTATTAAAAACCCCAACATTCGGGTTCTAGGAGTTCCTGAAGGCATGGAGAGGGAGAAAGGTTTAGAAGGCCTTTTTATTGAGATATTAGCAGAAAATTTCCCAGGTTTGGAGAAGGACAGAGACATCCTAGTATAGGAAGCACACAGAACCCCTAATAAACACGACCAAAAGAGATCCTCACCACGACACGTTGTAATTAAACTCTCCACAGTGAAACATAAAGAAAAGATCCTAAAATGTGCAACAGAGAAACGTCAGATTACTCTCAGAGGATCTCCAATTAGAATCACAGCTGACTTCTCATCAGAAACTCTACAAGCTAGGAGGGAATGGCGAGATATAGCCCAGGTACTAAGAGAGAAAAACTGCCAGCCCAGAATATTATATCCTGCCAAGCTCTCATTTGTGAATGAAGGTGAAATAAAGACCTTTCATAGCAAACAGAAATTGAAAGACTTTGTGGCCACTCGTCCAGCCCTGCAAAAGATGCTTAAAGATGTGTTACACACAGAAACACAGAAACACGGTCATCAATATGAAAGAAGGTAAAGGAAGGAAACCAAGGAAGGAAACCTTACAGCAAAAGATCACAGGGAATTCAAAGCATATATTAGAACTTATCTTTGGCAAATGGCAGGGCAAAGTTACCACTTATCAGTTGTCACATTGAACGTGAATGGGCTGAACTGTCCAGTTAAAAGACACTGATTGGCTGATTGGCTTAAGGAACAAAACACATCTATTTGCTGCTTACAAGAAACACATCTTTCCAACAAAGATGCATACAGACTGAAAGTGAAAGGCTGGAAAAAGATATACCATGCCAACAGAAATGAAAAAAGAGCGGGCATAGCCATCTTAATATCGGACAACATAAACTTTACCACAAAAACTGTTAAGAGAGACAAAGAGGGACACTATATCATGATTAAGGGATCAACTCAACAGGAAGATATAACAATTATCAATGTATATGCACCTAACTACAGGGCACCGGTTTATCTAAAAGATTTGTTAACGGACTTAAAGGGAGACTTAGACTCCAGTACAATAGTACTG